CCGTGACAGGTAAGCAATTCTTCACATTTCCGCTAATCCCATATTTTTCATGAGTGAACTAAGCATATTAAACTTGATTGTCATTGATGAATTTTTTAAAGTCACTGTTACTTACATTTTTGTGTCTACTCGTGTGCAACTAGATGACATTCTTATTAAAACCTTGGGAAAACGTGTATTTGATTTCTTCCTCAGCAAGTTGGGCATTCGAAATTCGCATGCTCCATCTTAAGGGGGTATTAGAGCATGTAATTAGCAACAACACTATTAGTAATTAGTCGTGGTAAATATAGTCCAACAATTTTTACAGTTTCCTTATATATTCTGATTACTTCTAATTGATACGTATAATGAAAATCAACCCAATTAGGATTTTCTAAATTTTTGTGATCCATTACGTGATTTCTCCCTGAGGAACTCCACCGGTAATTCACTAGGATCTAAGCTTTTTGCCCAAATATCTTGTATATGTAGAATATTTTAATGTACTAATTGTCTCTAGGTTTTTTTTTATTATTCAATACATTGTTTATAAGAGTTTGGGTTTCAACTAGCAAAAAAATATAAATACATACAGTTGCCGACCTATTTTCATCATTGTTTTAGTTTTTTTGGTGGCATCTTTTAGATTAAGATAATGAATGCTTTTGAACATTGAGGTTGAATGTATCTTTTTTTTTTACAGAAAAATTGATACATTTTTTTTAAACCTTACGCATGGAAAACATTTCTATCTAAAATAACTAGATCCATACTCATTTAAGAAGTCAAGAATATAGAATTGTTAAGTAATAACTTTAGTGTTTCCCATTCTTACTAATTCATTCGCTACTGAATTGAGCTCGCAAAAGATATATTGCACCGATGCCATCATGGTCACCAAAATTTGAGTGATTCAGAATAAGTTATTTTCATGTCTTTAAGATCAGTTATTATGATTTTCAAGGTTTGCAGTAATACTTTGGAGTCGAATTCTACTTCAACCTGTCGTATACCAAGTTCTTATAATTGAGAACAACCCCAAAGAAACGCAGCAAGCTTAGCTTGGAAGTTACTAGCATGGTCAATGATTTGGATTCAGCAAAGATTACTTGGCCATTTGAGAAACGATGTATTGCTTTTAGAGATGAATGAAACCAAGTTTCTGATTCATTCAGTCTAGGGCAAACATGCAATTTCAGTCTATTATTATTTATGCAATAATGTCAACATTTGGTTTTCCTTTTTTTTTCTTTTACATAACAACAACTGGAGTTGATTAAACACATCGAGATATACAGATCCTCCATTACCGGAATGTGCCGAATTTGATAATGCATTAATTAATTCAATAAAAAATTTTCCCCTTAACCCTTGAATATTGAAGATGATATTAAAATCTTAACAAACTTGTGATGTTTTGGCAAAAATCTAACGAACTCGTTCAACAAACCCTGGGCGGTACCTTCAAGAGTGTTGCGGCCATTTTATAAGCCACAAATTAAAAAGACACAAATTTAGAAGAAATAGATAAACCCCCTTTGCTGGCTTCATGAATTTCCTTAAAAAGACATGCTCAAAACGTTGATGCAATGCAACTTCTTGGGGTATTCAAAATGTCTAGAAAAACATATAGTAGACATGATTCTCGCTTTCAGGAAAAAGGCCCAAGCATGCATAATAATGATCAGTTACAACTTTTTTTTAGATAGATATCATTATATTCTAAATTGGTGTTATGAAATAGCGTGAAAGTGTAATGGTTATCTTGATAACCGAGAAACAAGTATCCCCTAATTTAACTCTTCTCTTGGGTGGGATGTTTTATTCATCATTGAGGGCGATTAATTCTATACCTCTTACTCAAAGGTGTTGTGCATAAAGGAAATAGTAGCTTCTTGTTTGATCAATGGTCAAGTTTGGGCCGCATATGGGACATCCAGGATATGGATCCTCCACTGCCAAATCTTACAATCCGGGAATTTTTCTCAATGAAGAATCTCTACTTACAAGCGATTCGGGATTGGTTGGAGGATAGAGCTTTTCATGCCTTGGAGGAAATGGATTTATTCTTTAACGAGGGGGAAGATAAACTGATTTTGAAACCGACCCCATTGGGAGTATTTACAATCAAGTCAGCGTATGAAGCACTACGGAGGAAGCAAGTTGAAAACCCTAGCCTGCGGAATGTATGGCACAAATTCATTCCCTTGCGCATCTCCTTCTTCATGTGGAAGTTTGGTAACTCACTTCTCCTTTTTACGGAGAATTTATGTAAGATGGGCATATATTTGCAGCCTTCAATTTGCTGGAAGTGTAAGTCTTCCTCTGATTCAATGAGGCATCAATTCCTTGAGTGTGCTTTTGCGCGCCAGGTCTGGAACTTTTTTGCTGATTTTTTTGGTCAGGTTGCGCATGGTGCAAGCCTTGGAGAATACTTGAATTTATGGTGGCTATCAGGAAACTTTAAAACAGCTATTGGGGTCATAAAGAAGGTTTTGCCATCCTTTGTAGTGTAGGAATTATGGAAGGCACGAAACAAGTTCTTTTTTGAAAATGTTGACTCTACCTTTTCAGGTGTCATCAAAGCTGTCAAAGAGCATCTTCATGGAATGATGCTAGTCCATATACTCAAGGCTCGGAATGTTGTAGAGAGGGAGTGGCTTCAGTATATCTTTCCAAATACACCTTTCAATCTTAAACAGAAAAAGGTGCGCAAGGTTTCTTGGCAACAACAGTGCAAGTATGTGCTGAACACTGATTGATCTTCCAACCCCCAAGCTGCTGGGTATGGCTTTGTGATCAGAGGTGAGAAGGGGCTTTTTCTTTATGGGGAAGCTGGATTTTTGGGAAGTGGAGATAGTCTTCAAGCAGAGGTTTATGGCCTACTATTTGGAGTTCGGAAATGTGAGCATCTTGATCTATTCCAGGTGGAAGTTCAAACGGATAACCAATTTCTGGCAAACATTCTTGCCTCTGGAGGTCCTTGTCCGTGGAGATTCTATTTCGAGTTGAAAGAGATTCTTGCAATTCTTGAGAGAAGGGATTACTCTATACACCACATTTACGGAGAAGCGAATGCAGTAGCAGATAGTTTAGCTAGATGTGCTTCAGATGAATTTTCAGTAGAATTTTTATCCTTAGGAGACCTTCCGCCCTTCACTAGGGGGTCTCATTACTCTAGATCAACAGTCTATGCCGTATGTGAGAGTGCGGTAATAGTTCGGATGTAATAGTGAGATAATACTTTTCTTGTATCCTGGTAAGTTGTATGCACTGCCAGCTTTAACCTATGAATTTTAATAATATATATGGTAAGAAGGGAACTAAGGAACTAGATGATATATATGTTCATCCCTTGGGTACATCCCTTGGGTGTGTTTATATCATCTGGCTATAATTGACTTAAAAATCCATCTCTTGGGTAGACCCCTAGAGTGTTTTTGAGTCAGTTAGAACCTGAATCCTCTTCTGAACCTTCCTATTGGCAAAAAAAAAAAAAAAATTCTATACCTCTTTTGTCGCTGGTGTTATGTGTATTGCAACTTTAAGTGATATTCTAAGTACTCTTTACTTCTGCTTATAGTGCTAAACTTCTACATATAATCAAAGGTTGGTCTAAAGGTTTTTGCCATATATCTATCCAAGTGTAATTAATTCACTTCACATGAAGGAATTGATGAAGCATGGACCCTGAATTTACGTGTTTTCTGCCTGAGAAACTTCGCCGGTAAGCCGGACTCACCAGATTCACCTGAACGTTTTTTAGTAATATCAATGAAATAAAATCCATATACATCACCTAATAGATTCTTTGTGGGATCTATATGTTTTCCCCGTCATCATTTTTTTTTCTTTTTTAGAATTTTCTTTTGGTTTAGTTAAGAATTTATAAAATCTAATTGTCATTTAAATCATTTTTCCCTATAAAATTTTATAGGAAAGCTTACCTGGTCGCTGATTGATTCCCTGCTGTAATGTAACTTATATTTTTCATCTCTCCGGAAATATATATGTATATATATATATATATAATAAATGTAATCATAACAAAATGGCGATGATTAATAAGAGCAAGACATATATATGGTTTCTCCAAGAACTTCAAATCAGAATCCTTAACTACATCAAATCCACGAAATATTAATACAACATCAAATTCGAGGGAGCACTAATACAACATCAAATCCAGGTAACATTAATACAAAAGTGCAGAGTTTTTTTGCCAAGAAAAAAGGAAAAAAAAAAAAACAACAGAGAATCGCCCTTCATATAGAACTTGTTTCATTGTTTTATGCTCAAAGCTTAGAGATCAAGTTGTACAACCTGGCGAACTTGAAACCTTGGGGCAAAAACCTTGTGAACTGATGCAACAAGTCTGGATGATATTTCAGAAGTGCAGCAATCTACGTATACGTACAAGAAAAATTAAAATGATTAAATCAATCTTAAGCATCATATCAATTACCAAAAATATTTTAAAAAAAAGAAAGAAATTTTCAATGGAAATAGATACAAACCTCTGGATAGAGTTCGTGCATGTCCTTGAGTCCCTGCCTGTGCAATTGCAGAAGGTCCAGAAAAGTAAAGTACACATGACCTTTCCCTCTGAAACGTTTCTGAAGTAAAAAAAAAAATTGTTTCACAGTTTCTAGTTCAGATCCAGTTACATAGAATCTTTAATTAAACTAAAAGAGTAACGATACACATCTCACCATACATGTTATATATTAATTCATTATACCATTTATATGAATTAATCAATCACATTGATACCTAGTGGGTGAGTAAATGCAATGTAAGGTGTTATCATTGCTCGAAACTTATAAGAGCGCAAGAACGTGAAAGTGAATGTAAATATGTATATTTACCTTGACCTTATGAACAAAAGCTAGGGCGTCCTCGAAATCAAGTTTTTCCTTGCGAGGGACACGTGCACCACCTTTCAGGGTAATCTCGTACCCCCTTGGCAAGAATGCATTGAAGCCATGGATTAAGGCAGGATGATGTTTGAATAGAGCCTTAACTTTGGTAAGGACAGCCTTGCTGTCAATTCTGCAATAATGGCCATGAGTTTTATTATCAACTGAAAATGAAGCAGGAGACATATATTAAAAGAATAAAAGCTTCTGTTTGGGAACCTTGGGGGTTAATTATATACCTTTGGTTATGAAAATCCTTCATAATGTCTATGAACATCTGATACTTCTCTTTCTTGTCCTTGAACGCAGTCTGAACTTCCGTCAGGTAGCAAAGTGCATCATCAGCAGTCAGCCCGGCTGGTTTCCGGCCTTTGCCTCCACCACCTTTCCCTGCAGCTCCACGGGGAGCTGGTGGCCGAGAGCTTCAAATGAAAATATAACACAAATTAGGGAATGATCTACACATTCTAAGGAAAGTTTTTTTCTTCAAACTCATCATCAAACTAACAAAACGAATACTATGTGCACAACTGCTGGAAAAAGCTACTGGTTGCTTAATTTCATATAAGCTTTCGAGACAACAGAAGACAACACTATCCCCAAACGATGTAGCCACAAAAGGTCCAATCAAACAATGCATCCACCCAAAAGATTTTTTTACTATGACAGGATATTACAAACTGTTGATGTTTTTGTGCCTAAGGCAAAGAATGCAAGTGTTTAAAGCTATTTGGGCTTAAATCCCTTTTTCATTTTATGTACTCATATTAAAATTGATGCTACAAAACACAATCCAATGCACACACACAGAAGAAAAAAAATCAAAATAAAAAATCAAAAAATCAAAAATCAAAAAAAAAATCAAAAATCAAAAAACCAAAAATCCAGAAAAAATAATAATAATAATATATAAAATTAAAATTAAAACTTCACTCAGGTGATGTTACTCTCAATTATATAGCTAGATAACCAAATAAGCCACAAAAGTTGACAAAACAAACCAAATTAATTAAATCGAAGAGTGAGGCATTCCACAAACTTAATTAACTCGATCTGAAAATGAAACAAGAAAACATCAAATGACACTCAAATTCAAGTGAATTGCACGAATCATACGGTCACTCTAATTGATTTCAAAGATCGATCACAAAACAAATCATAGGGTTCATCATGAAGTAATCACAAGATGGAACTTAAAACATACGATAAAATCAAGTTAAACAAAAGCCACATAATCATACAATGAAAATCCAGTTAATCCAACAAAGATCGGCTCATATATACACCACAAAAATACACCACCGCCAAGTTCAAAGCAAGAAAAATAAAACCAATGTTTCGATGGAAAAAGGGAGAAAAAAGAGCTTACAATGCAGGGACAGCGCCGAACGGCCAGGACGGGCTCTGAATCTTAGCCGTGATACGATCCATCACTGCAAAGATAAACACCGATCATAAGCTCAACCGAAAAGATTACTAAAATCTGAATGATATACATAAGAAAAAACCAATGTTTCGATGAAACCAACGTACAAACCACCTGAGAAAACTTTGCTGAATGCGGTGCAAAAAATGTTAACTGGTGATGAAAAATGAGTGAGGAGCTGACAATGTGAGGTGATGGGCAAATATATAACCTCGAGAAATAAAGAAAACACTACATTTATTCTACAAAAGAGCCGTGATAGAAAACTACATTGACAGGTAAGTATATGTGAAAAGACGAAATTAATTACTAACTATAAACAAGAGGATACCCTCCAAATAATCAAACGATATAAATTTATGTCTTTATATATATGATATATCAGTTACTATTTTATTTTTTCACTCTATATTTCCACTAAAAGATTACATATTACACGAAAAATGTGTGATAGAAAATTATACTCACAAATGTCCAAAAGATTACATATTACACGAAAAAGACGTGATTGGAAATTTATACCAACAGATGTAAGTGTGACAGATAGATATATGTGAAAAGACAAAATTACTAACCATTGACAAGAGAATACCCTTCTAATAATCGAACTTTAGAGATAAAGTTCTGTTTCTGTGCATATGACACATCAGTTACTATTTTATTTTCACCTGTTATTTCTATCAAAAGATTACATATTACATGAAAAAGACTGACAGAAAATTATACTGACAGACGTAAATTTGACAGATAAGAATATGTCAAAAGACGAAATCAATTACTAACTTAAATAAGAGGATACCCTCCAAATAATCAAATGATATACATTTATGTCTTTGTACATATGATATATCACTTACTATTTTATCTTTTCACTCTATATTTCCACTAAAAGATTACATATTACACGAAAAATGCATGTTAGAAAATTACACTGACAGATGTCCAAAAGATTACATATTACACGAAAAAGACGTGACTGGAAATTTATACCAACAGATGTAAGTGTGACATATAGACATATGTGAAAAGACAAAATTACTAACCATACACAAGAGGATACCCTTCTAATAATCGAACATAAGAGATAAAGTTCTGTTTTTGTACATATGACATATTAGTTACTATTTTATTTTCACCTTATATTTCTATCAAAAGATTACATATTACACGAATAAGACGTGATAGAAAATTATACTGACCGATGTAAATTTGACAGATAAGTATATGTGAAAAGACGAAATCAATTACTAACTATAAACAAGAAGATACCCTCCAAATAAACAAATGATATACATTTATGTCTTTGTACATATGATATATCAGTTACTATTTTATTTTTTCACTCTATATTTCTACTAAAAGATAACATATTACACAAAAAATGCGTGATAGAAGATTATACTGACAGATGTCCAAAAGATTACATATTACACGAAAAAGATGTGATTGGAAATTTATAGCGACAGATGTAAGTGTGACAGATAGATATATGTGAAAAGACAAAATTACTAACCATAGAGAAGAGAATACCCTTCTAATAATCGAACTTTAGAGATATAGTTCTGTCTGTGTACATATGACATATCAGTTACTATTTTATTTTCACCCTACATTTCTATCAAAAGATTACATATTACACGAAAAATACGTGATAGAAAATTATACTGACAGATGTAAATTTGACAGATAAGTATATGTGAAAAGACAAAATTACTAACGATAGACAAGAGAATGCACTTCTAGTAATCAAACTTAAGATATACAATTTTCTTCGTTCACATGATATATCAGTTACTATTTTATTTTTCACCTTATATTTCTATCAAAAGATTACATCTTACACGAAAAAGACGTGATAGAATATTCTACTGACAGATGTAAATTTGACAGATAAGTATATGTAAAAAGACAAAATTACTAACGATAGACAAGAGAATACTCAAACTTTAGAGATGCAATTCTATCTTTGTACATATAATATATTAGTTACTATTTTATTTCCACTTTATATTTCTATCAAAAGATTACATATCACACGCGAAAGACGTGATAGAAAATTATACTGATAGATTTAAGTATGACAGATAGGTAGATGTGAAAAGACAAAATTACTAACGATAGATAAGAGAATACCTCTCTAGTAATCGAACTTAAGATATACGGTTCTGTCTTTGTACCTATGATATATCAGTTACTATTTCATTTTCATCCTATATTTCTATCAAAATATTACATATTACACGAAAAAGATGTGATAGAGGATTATACTGACATATGTAAGGGTGACACATAAGTACATGAGAAAAGACAAATTTACTAACGATGGACCAGAGAATATCCTTCTAAACTTAAGAGATACAGTTATGTGTCTGTACAATTGATATCAGTTACTATTTTATTTTTATCCTATATTCCAATCGATTTTTTTTTATCTACCTAGTGAGTGTGATGAATAAGTGAATATAAAAAGATTAATTAGTAATGATAGACAAGAGGATACCTACCTAATAATCAGAGGTCTGTGACAGATAAGTGAATGTGGGGAAAAAAAACTAAATTACCCTCCTAATAATAGACAAGAGAATACCCTCTTAATACTCCAGTGAGTGTGATGAATAAATGAATATTAAAAGATGAATTAGTGATGATAGACAAGAGGATACCTACCTAATAATAAGAGAACTTTGACAGATTAGTGAATGTGAAAAAAAAACCTCCTAATACTCCAGTGAACGCGAAAAGACGAAATTATTATTGATAGACAAGAAGAAATCCTCCAAATAATCTAAGAGGTACAATTTTTTCTTTGAACGCCCTCCTGACTATGCTATATAAGTGTATGTGAAAAGACAAGTGGATACCCTCTTAATTATCAAACTTAAGAAGTACAATTTTTTCTTTCTGCATTTGATATATCACTTACTCTTTTATTACTGTTCTGGTGATTATTGAAGAAACTTTCTCTAAAAACTAAAGATCAATCTAGGTAGCTAGAGAAGTTGACCGAGTGATTTGTTAGTAAATTTGGAAATCTAATTAAGGTAATGAATAATTGCGAAGTTTAATTAAAGAAAATCCTTATCATATATCACCACTATATGTAATAACTAAATCCCTATTTGAAAGCGGTATTGTGTGGATTTTTGTTGCAAATGCTTTTGACTTGATTTTTCTTATTCAGTTTTACGTTTTGTTATTCTCTTTTAATATAAATATATATGTGTTCTTCAGTCTTTCATCCTCTTCGTCCCAGAAACCTCCACCTCTATGGCTTAATAAACTAACGCCATCTTTTCTGAAATCATTTCTTCGACTTTCATATGCCTTATAAAAGAAATAAATTCAACAAACGATCTTTTCCAGCTAAAAAAAAATTAGAACTTCCATATTCAATATATATGTGCTGGCTAGGATTATTTTTTCCTTTCTTTCTTTCTTTTTTTTTTTTTTTGGTTGACAAAAGCAGGTTATTGCAACTGCATTAATTAATCATTAAAAACTTTGGATAAAAAATGAGAAGTAAAAAAATACAAGGCAAAGTACTCAGTATCCTTGCAATTACATTTTCGTTTTTGTACTGTCTATAAAAAAAAAACTCAAACAAACACCAAACACCAACTCCCTTCATATGCACGCTTTGAGAAAGCACATTTCGTTGAACAATTCGCGTAATTTGATTTTGTCGATAATAATGTACTACAATATTTTTAGAGTACTATATATTTGAAAAACAAATTACGCTATTGATATAACAAAACTACTCTCAATTTATTCATCTGCCATATTTCCATTTTCTATCGATTTATTTAAATGATTAACAAATTAATTACTTCCAATATTTTTTTGGGGGTAGGGGAGATCCAAGATTTTAACCATTCTCTAACATTGCACTTATTTTTTAAAAGACAGGATAACCCTAATCAATGGGATACAGTATTAATAATCTATGTGAGAAATAAATTTAGAACATTAAAAAACTTGATGCAACGTGTCATCATTAATAAAAATGTATAAGAAGAAACTACTATTATAATTATTTAGTTCTTACCTCAATTTTAGTGTAAACCTGAGTTGCGATCAAATACTTGAAGAGATTACTAACCTTATATATAATTAGCTTTATTTTACAGATCACAAAAATCAAAACAATATAATATCAAAAAAAAAAGAAGATTTTGAGATGTTTTTTTTATGCAACTAACATACACAAAAAACTGAAGTGTGATGGTGAAAACGAGAGATAGGAGCCAAAAAAAAAGTTGGGAGTGAAAAATATGTGTGTAACAACGAGATAATACAACACACTATTTATATAGTGATGAGGACTAAGACATATTTAGTACGTTACTGTTCTCTTTGGTAAAAAAATAATTTAAAAAAATAATTCTATATTGTGTGAATCTATATATACTTTTATTTTGATTTTTGTTCTTTTTTAAAAAAAATATTTATGATGATATCCTCACCCCCAAAACAACATCAGATGAAATTGTAATTGCAAAGGCCAAAAGATATTCTAGATTCATGTTTCTTGTATGGTTCTCCCCGTGCTACAAAATAAGTGAATGATAGAAAAATACATATTTATGTAGTTTTGATAATTAAATATAATTATGTGAGAAACAATTTTTTTCCCAAATAACGAAAACCTAATTGATGTTTGTTTTTTAAGAAAAAAGTTATGTATTTTAGGGATATACACTTAATGGGAATATTGATTTCATCTAAATAATTATTGTTAGTAATTTTGAAATAATTGTTTTTCCAAAGTTAGTTGTATCTGCCTACAATCATATATAGTGTTTGATGACCTTCGTATAAGAAATGAATCCTATTAAGGAAAAATATTTTACCTTGAACAACATTACGAATTGTTTACTATTGACATAAACCTGCACTTTCCATCGCAAAAAAAATATCTTTGTGACTACTTTAAGTGCAGTTATCTACCGTGTTTCCATTGTTTCTTCATGCACTGTTGGTCATGTCCTTAATTGTCGACTATCATTAATCTAGTACATTGTGCTTATCAATAATGCAATTTTCCAGTGCGATTTCACTATGTAAGAACTAAGAATTCAAAATTGAATAAAAGCATCCATCAACACTACGACAATCACGTATTCTATGAGAAAATTAAGTTAACCTTATATGGCATTTGTCATCCTGTAACAAATGTAGTAATTAATTCATAATAATTTCTAAATTGGAGTTATAAAAAGAAATCATTTCTAGCGAATTCAATTGAGAAGGGAGAAGAAACGCAATAATCTTGTCCATAATATTCTTGTAAGCAACATAATGTAAACTTTGAATATCATTTTACAAAGTTCAACATCTCAAAAACAAGTCCACAACAAACAGGGACATAAGGATATCGTATCACATCCTTATATGACAATGAATAACATTAATCCCATGGAATCATGTAGCAATACAAAAAGTTATATAACTGATTAATTTTCTGGAATATATTTGGTGAACTCAACCAGCAGATCTGGGTGGTCCTTGAAAACTGGTGCAACCTGTGTAATGAAAATGTAATATATTAGTTTTTAAAGCAAGAACATACTGTCAAAAATGAAAAATAACAGATATAAAAATTAATAAAAAATTCAGTTAAAACGGATACAAACCTCACGGTAGACTTCATCAACGCTCTGGCCTCCATACTTAAACACATGCAAATGGTCTAGAAAAGAAGTGTAGACAAGGTGGTTGCTTCCGAAACGCTTCTGCAAAGTGAAAAAGCTCAAAACACTCCATTTTGAAAATGAATTGCAGACTTGAAGAAACTCACTTGAGTTAAACAAAAATAACTATGATTTTTGGAATAAAAGTACTACTTTTGCACTAATGTCGAAGTAAATATAACCTTTACTTTCTCGATGAAACCTACACCCTCTTCAAAATCCTTTATTGTCTCATCAGGGGCAACCTCTACTTCATCATCCAGGGTGATTTCAAACTCTCGGGGCAAAAACTTATTGAAACCAAGAAGCAAGTTCAGATGCCCTACAAACAATTCCTTTAACCCCGCAATGACGCCTAGATTATCAACCCTACAAAATATATCCATGAGTTAGCGAAATTCAAATAGTATTGAAACAAGAGAATATACATACGAAAAAAAACTCGTGGCAATAAAAATTGGGGTGCATACCTTTTATCTTTGTACTCCCTCATAAGGGCAATGAACGCATCATACTTCTCCTTTCGATCTAGGTAAGTGTCCCTAACTTCCCTCATATAGTTTATGGCATCAGTTGTGTCACATACAATCAGGGGATTCTGCCTGGTGTTTAAATGAGAATGACGGAACCAAATAATAATTTTCTCCAAAACGCATTAGCAACCAGGGCCATTATACTGTACTCAAGTGGAAAAAACAATTCGCTTCTTGGTTTTCTAAGTTTACCAAAAAAAAAAAAAACACCTTTCCTAATGCTCCCTGTAAAGATCTTCTGTACCACTCAAGATTTGATTTATAGTTTACCCACAATAGTGAAACCAAGTTTGCATAAATTCAAAAAGGAGAAAATATGTATATGAAAACAACAAAATATTCTTGCGAAAGTGACCAATTAATGGTGTCCCTAAAGATTAGATCCGCAATACATCCATCATAGAGATTCTATAAAATTAAATTTAAAGAAAAAAACAAAAATATGCATAATAAAAAGTGTAAATAAGTTTGAAGACTTCAAAATAATCATCGTTGCAAAGGTATTTAATCAATAAATGGTGTCGTTTAAGATTCGATTCGATTTACATCCACCATAAGTAATTGCACAAAACAATCATTGTATTAAACATAAACTTAGGGGTGCCTGGTTCAACCCTACTATGATAGTAGGAAATGGCTTTCATAGAATATAAATGGGATTCATAGAATAAAGACGGCTAAGGGTTTGAAAAGTTTTATTTTTACTGCTTGTTTCCTATGTATGATAGAATTGGAATGGAGCCAAAATTCTATTTTTATCCTTAAAAACTCTCCATGTTCAATGGTATCTTCTCCGTTGCCTCACCAGACCAGCCACATCCACCTTTTCTTTCTTCACTAAAATCACCATTCTATCAACCTTTCTTCATTTGTGTCAACCCCAAAACACATCATTTTTGATTCAAATATAAACTCCCCAATAAGCAACAAATTAATCTAATTATTGAATAACTTAACAATCAAACAAAACTCAAAACATAAGCTCAAATCACTAGTAGTCAAATTCAGTTGTAAAATTGAGGAAGCAGGCGGCCACTAAGGTACTAGCAGCCCGAGGAGTGGGCCGAAAATGGAAGTATGGTTTTACAGTAGGAACAACAAATCCCCCGTGCCCCACTCCCGGTTGAGTCTTTGGTTTCTTAATTTTACAAAACCTAAATTTGGTTTTGTTAAATATGTTAAGATTGGAGATGAGAAGTTGCAGGGGACGGGGTTGTGGGGAGAGCAAGATGGAGACGAGATTTGAGATGTGAGGATAGGAGAGCAAGAATGATAAGATTGGGAATGAATCTCATGTTTTGGGTATAAAACCCCCCGACCAGGCACACCCTTAGATGTGGTAAGAAAACCCAAAAATGATAAATCTTGTTGCAAGTAACTTGTGTGTAAAATCAAAACTTTAGTCAAATCCTCATTTCCTCAATTATCAATAGAACAAAAAACCACAAAAATTCAACCTAACTCAATTAGACAATGTAAAGTAGGACATCAAATCAGGAAAGTATGAACAAGCCAAACACCAATCAAATGACACTAAATTTAAGTGAATCAACTGGTCAAGAAGCCATACACAGTTATTCAAAATTTCAAAGAGCAGGCACACAAAAAAGAATTAGGTAAAAGAATACACTCATTGATCTCATTATTGTTCGGATCAAATTAAAACAAAGATACATATAAAAGAAATTGGCCCTAAATCAACAAAAAAATTCAAATCAGAAAAAAAAATGAAAACAAGATAAGGACTCACGATTCAGCCGAAGGTTGTCTTGATGATTTATTGTTATCAACATCATTTAGGGGGCGATCCATCTTGATCTGGAAGAGGAGAAAATAATCCACAATTTAATTAAGTTTCTCTTAAAGAAGATTGCAAAAATCAGAACGATATAACATCAAAAAGAAAAATAAGATCTTGAGGTGAGTTTTTTTGAGCAACCGACATACGCAAAAAAAAACTAAAACGTGGTGATAAAAATGAGAGGTAGGACCCAACAAAAAGTTATTACTTGTGAGTGAAAAATATGTCTGTGTAGCCACGAGATAAATAGAGCACACTATTTATATAGTGATAAGGAGGAAGAGACATTTAGTATGTTAGTGTTCTCTTTGGTGAGAAAATAATTAAAAAATTCAATCCTATATTGTATAAATCTATGCATACTTTTATTACGATTTTTTCTTTTTTTGAAATATTTATGATGATATCTTTTCACCCCCTAATGACATGAGACTAAATTGTAATTATAAAGGCCAAAAAGGCACATCTTTTAGTTCCCTCGTAAATCTAAGCTATCAAAGTATTTCTATTTTCAAATCAAGTCATTAAAATATGGGGCTAATACAAAAACATTGACTAATGAAGTTATTGTTATTGTACAATACACAATAATTTGTGATCTTTCTGTTTGTCACGAGGATTTATATATTATTGAAACTTTAAGCGTTATTCTATTAGCACCGACATTATTTCAGTGAATAATGCTTGATTTGTCATGAATTGTTGGCCATCTAAACTTTTGGGTATATTTAAAGATTAATCAAAGAATTTTGACGTTCTATCTAGAGAGACAATTCTCTTCTCATGAAAAAATTAACAGTTCGTATCAAAAACACCCCGAGGTTTATTCGATTATCAAATAACACTTCACTATTTGAAAAAATATCAATAAGCTCCATTGACCGGCAAGTCAAATATCAAATCCATCCCTTGATACCTGAATGATGACCTAGCCTATGATGTCAGCAAAAAAGAGGACCAAGAAAGACGCATTTGCAATATACTTTGACTTTGTTGACTTTGCTCTGAACACTACGGGCGATTACACCATAACTGTGTGTAATCGGCTCTTGATTTCTGCCGCAAATCTGAGGTTACCATGAGAATATGCTTGGACAAAGTATCAACAGATTAGCTGCAAATAGTGAAGTTCTTCAATCAGGAATGAAACTGAATCTACATCAGCAGACTTTTCTGATCAAAGACTTCACCACAACAAAAGTCAAGGAGGCTATGTTTAGCATTGATAGTAATAAAAGCCCTGGTCCTGATGACTTTAATAGTGGTTTTTATAAACAAGCATGGAGTATATTTGGGAAAGAAGTGTGTGAAGCTGTTCTGGAGTTCTTTGAATCAGGGAAATTATTGAAGCAAGTTAACACTACAATGATCTCCTTGATACCTAAAAATGAAGCTCCAAAGGATGCCACTAAGTTCAGGCCTATTGCATGCGGCAACACTATTTATAAATGCATTTCTAAAATGTTGTGTAAAAGATCATGTCAAGTACTACCTGAACTAATTGACTTGAACCAAGGTGCGTTTGTTAAGGACAGAATGATTTTGCACAATACCTTGTTAATACATAACTTGATCAGAAAATATAAAAGGAAAGAGAGTCATTCCAGCTGTGTTATGAAGGTTGATCTGAGGAAAGCCTATGATACTATCCATTGGGAATTTATTAAGAAAATGCTGCACCACTATAAGTTCCCTCAGAAGTTTATTGACTGGATCATATGTTGTGTTACAACATGTTCTTACTCACTAAATTTTAATGGCAATAGTGAAGGATTTTTCAAGGGAATGAGAGGAATCAGATAAGGAGATCCAATATCACCTTTGTTGTTTGTTATGGTCATGGAGTATTTGACCAGGTCCTTTAAGATCAAAGCTCAACAGAAGCAGTACAAATTTCATCCCTCATGTGATAAGTTAGGGATTACATCATTAAGTTTTGTTGATGACTTAATGATCTTTTGTGGTGCTGATATTCCTACTGTCAATATGATTAAAGGCTGTTTAGATGAATTTGGCCGCACAACAGGGCTCAGAGTGAATATACAAAAGTCTAACCTTTACTTTGGAGGGAAAACAGAAGTTGTACAGGAAAAAAATTCAAGAGATCATGGGCTTCAATACAGGTGAATTTCCAAAGAAGTACTTGGGATTGCCTTTATCTACTGGAGCATGGAATAAAGAAGATTGTCAGGTTTTGGTGGATAAAATCACTAGTAGAACCAACTGCTGGACTTCCAGACATCTGTCATATGCTGGAAGAACCTTGCTAATTAGTATTGATGAGTTTACATACATACTGGGCTAGTGTTTTTTTGATCCCTCATAATATCATTCAGCAAATCACAACCAAGTGTACAGAGTTTCTTTGGGAAAAAAGGAGAATGGAAAGTCATGGACTGTGGTAGCTTGGGATGACATATGTAGGAAAAAAAGGAAGGAGGATTAAACATCGAAGAGCTAGGCACATGGAATAAAGCATTGTTGGCTAAGCAGATTTGGGACCTGGAAAGAAGGAAAGAAATCCTCTGGATAAAATGGATGCACATTTACTATCTCAAAGGCAGAAGTATTTGGGATATAAAGCTCCAAATGATTCAATCTGGCATCTGAAGAAACTGATCAAAGTAAAGGAGAAGATCAAGGGAGGAGTTCAGAATGGGAAATGGCAATCTCTGAATGGGAAGCCTTATACCACTCAGAGTGGTTATACTTGGATGAGAAGAAACAAAGAAAAGATGAAAGAGGCTCAACTGATATGGACAAAATTCAGCCTCCCCAAGCATAGTTTTATCAGCTGGTTGGCCTGAAAAGATAGGCTACTAACCACTGAGAGATTAAATAGACTGAAAGTGCCAATCACTGATCAGCTGTGCAACCTTTGTTGCTTGGACTGTGAGACAAGAAACCATCTGCTCTTTAGTTATGCATATGCTAAGGAAGTCATAACAAGAATCAGAATGTGACTTGGCTTAAGAACTGATCTGACAGAGCTTAAGTACAGAAGGATCAAGCAAATATGGAAGTTCAGGAAATGCAGGAAACAAGTTCTACTGGCATGTCTAAACGCAGCTATTCATCATGTATGGACAGAATGAAATGCAAGAAGATTTGGCAACACAAAAATGTTATCAGCAAAAAGAGTTGAGTTGATACAGCAAGAAGTAAAGTGGAAGGTAGAGTTTAATTGCAGAAAGGGTAGTAATGATGACATACGGTTTCTGG